TCTCTCTCTCTCTCTCTCGCTCTCTCGCTCTCTCGCTCTCTCATTAGATTTATGCGCGTGTCTGATGATGATACGGATGTAGTGACGATTTCGCGCGACGCGAGGACCATCACCGTCGGCATATTGGAAATAACAGATAAAGTCAATCGTTGGATCCCTACTTTGATTAGTAATATCTAATTAATATTTAGGATATTAATAGTGGTGATAACAGAGTAATGTAATATAATAATGTAATAATATACACGCGCGTGTACAATTAATGTCGATTTCAAGTGCATTCGCATTGTATTGTATAGCGCTTCGCGAGTGGCGTGTTGTGCATCATATTGGAGTCAGACTGCACAAATGTAACCGAAACGATCATAGGAATACGTAGATCGTTGCAATCGTTACGGTTCTCATGCGGATTACGATAGCTTAATTTCAAAACCGTTACTGTACATTATATTGTTTAAAGAACATCGTTTATTACGTAAAGTAGATAACTGACACACATAGAGATTTTCCGAAAGACTTGTTTGCAAAAAATCTTCACCACGCCTAAAGCGACTGGTGTTTACACATATTAATTGATGACAATTGGTAAACGGTCATAATTCTTACACGCTACTTACATTTATCTCAATCTTAATGATTTTATAGTATTTCATTGCACGGCCATTTATATTTTACTCGCTACATGTTCGCTTTACGTGTTCAAAGTCATTCATAGTAGTATTTCATTCCTCGGTAATTCATTCGAATCGATGTGTTCACACTCGTATCTCGCTCTCGATATCTTCTCTCGATATAATCAACGAAATTAATAGCGTATAATTATAGCATAATTCAATAATCCTTTCTGCCCGTCTAGGATTTGTAAAGACTGAAATATTCTAAATGAAATATTTTTAGTCTTCATTCAATTATTTCTTAGAATTACATAACTAATTGTTCACGTCGGAAAATCTTATCTTTAAATACCTTTGGCTCTTATTAGGAAAAAGTTATAAATTATGACAACACACGATATATAGAATAATAGCTAGTTTTGGAGTTATAATTAAAAATTATAAAAAAAGAATAAATTATACAAATAAAATCAAGAATGTATTCATTAAAACAAAATAAAACATTTAAAAAGCAGGACATGTTAAATAAGTATAGCATTCAAGAGTTATTTTATGCTTATATATCTTGCATAAGACAAGTGTGCTGATTTCTAGGTTAAACAATTGATTTATATATCATACATACGCGAAATATTAAATAAAAAAATCTTTTTGTTTTGAATTTTGTACCGTGACAGAAGTAGAGATTATATAATTTTTATTTAAGTGAGGAAAAAATTACATTAAATTATATCAATACGAAATAGTTTTATTGAACAAAATATGAATTGAAGATACGTCCTAATGAGTTGATGAATGGTGAAGAATATTTTTTATTTCTCTCCAATTATTAATATTATGAAAAATGGAAGAATTACATTTTTGTTTCTATTGAAAGAAATATGACGATCAACGTAATGCGATTGTGTTTAAATTTCCATCGAATACATTTCATCGACTTCGCATGATCTCATCCACATATTTGTCGTATAGCGGCCTGACGCAAATAACTACAGCGGGTCCAACGACCGCAGCGTTTCTGCAATCGCTATATACTGTGGAAACACGCGTCTCTTTTCTCCCATAAATTTCCTTCTTTTTCTTTCAATAAAAAGAAAAGCAAAGTGAAGCAATAAGCGCGTGCTTATTGATCTCGCTATGCTAATAATCTGTCGAACGAATGCCACAATCTTACCAACGAATTCCATATTGGCTCCCTTATATTCAACCATCCGTGATCACTTATGAATTATTCTTTTTTCATCAATCATCACCTTATCATGAGATTAGAGGAAAAGAAAAAAAAATTGTAAATAAAAAAGAAGCAATAACAAAAGAGAGAGAGGGGGGGGGGAGAGATGTAGGGGAGCAGAGAAATAGAATAAGAAAATAGAATAGATTAGATTAGAGAATCTATAATACTCCAGTATTCTCTCAGAAATGTATAGCACTGGACAGATTATAGAGCAAAATTATATAACAAAGAGAGAAAATGTAACAGAGCACTTCTATAAATGATATTTTAGTAAATTGAATATTAAAGTACACATTAAAAATAGACGAAAGTTGAAGATGTCGAACAATATGAGCAGCAAGGAGATTAATGCTAACGACAGCTGAACGACGTTCTGAGGGAGTCTCAGAAAGTTAGACAGGAAGTAAGAAAGGAAAAGCGTGTGATGGAGAGCGAGACGCGAGAACACACGTATGCACACGCACGCTCATAGATAGGCAGATAGGCAGGCACGCTCTTAAACATCACGGAACTATAGACGCACGAGATGTGCGTTTATCGATTTATCGTTGTGGTGTATTGCGCGCCACGTACGTGCGTGAGC